GGCGTGAGCGGGACGCCGACATCGTAGTCGCAGAGATCAAATGCTGGGCCAAATTAGTCACTCTCCGTCTCTCTATCTCAAAGCCGATCCGTAGCAAAGTTTGCGCGAAGATGACATCAAAAGGAAACCACACACCGGGGAGGCGCCGCCCCCGGCCCACTCCGCCGCCGCGCCACCGCGCCGCGCTGTCTTATTGACACGCGACTGACGACTTGCAAGTCGCCACCACTGTTCACGACCTCGCTTTGCCGGAGTTATTTAGTTAATTAATACGGAATGCCCTATCTTAACTCCCGGCAGAGTGATGTGCGCTCGCAGTGGCACACGGCGGCGGCGAGGCGAGGCAAGCAAACTTTAATCTCGCACTTCCTCCTCCGCCTCGTTAATTACGTGCGTTGTCGGACTTGCGACTTCTCATCTCAAACATCCTCAAATCGAAATTACATCATTTAGCAATTATAGTTCTAAAACCAATTAAAATATTATTTCTTTACGTTTCGCAACAACAACTATTGGCTTGCCTCTCCGCCCGAATTTTGAACTAATCATTTCGTAAATTAAAACCAAAGTTTCTAATAAACTTGTAAAGAGGGTTAGGTTGCTTCAAGTTTTTTGAAGCCTTAAAAACGAAATGTAATTCCGAAATTAATTTCGTAACGTCTTTGTACCTGTGCTTGTTTCTTTACGATATTATGATGAATCTTAATATTTTTGCCAACTTTATGGTAGTAACTTGCCTTCTAAGAAACAATTAACACGATTCAACAAAAAGAAAATGAAATTTCACTATAATGGCCTCTCTTAGTAACTTATCACTTAGTAAGTTTGCGGAAAAAATTGTAAACAGAAAAACTTGAAATATTACTTTTCTGTATGACCTTAGGACATTAGAAATTAATTATTACTTAGTTTTTTTACGTTCATATTAACCATTAATTAATCTTGATAATTTTTATTGAATGTCACACAGCGTTTGTGGTTTTAACATATAGCCTAATGAGCTACAGAAGTAATTATAAAAGAAAGTAAAAAAAAATGTACTAAATGTATTTATTTTATGCATTATTTAGCTTAATTTAGCCACTTTCTTGTTTTGGAAAATTCAATTTATTTTTAGTTGAAACTTCGAAAGGTCCGTGCTTTTATAAATCTATAAAATAAACATCTTCATATTTAATTTGACTTTTTGCTTACTCCTACTTTGGCTCACTATTTACTTCCTTTTTTTTTGAAAAATATAAGGTAAAAATGATGCCTACCTTTCTGTCAGGTAGGCAAAAATAGTAACAGGGTGAAAGCAACATTATTTAGAACTTTTAATGCCTCTAAATAAGTAAATACTGATTTAAAAACGGTCATGTCTAGACATTTTAAACTAATATTAGAAAGTATTTCTAAATATTGACAAAATGGTACTGTCAGAATATGGTATCGTAAAAAAAATGAGACCGTGGAATCCAACGTGGTCGAGTGTCGGTTGTTTGTGGGCCCGGCGCGGCGGTGTGGCGGCGCGGGCATTGTGCCGCGGACTTTACGAGCCCCTGATTCCTGGAAGGGATGGCGGTATCTACCTACGCGGGTGTCCTTTAGTGACGTCACACCGCGCCGCCCAATACCAACGCAAGAATTCCACATCTTAAGCAAATGTATCTAACACGTGAAATAATTTACATTTATTTTCTTCTCTCTTAATATTAGAATTTTATTTTAAATCGTTACTAAGAGGTATTTTATTAATGTAAGCACAAAAACTCTATTAGGAATATACAAGGTGTTTTGAAATTCAGTCACGGATCAATGTCGGTTATAACCAAATGTCGGAGGACAAAATAACTTGAAAAACTGTTTACTTTGTGTACTATGCAAATAAATTAACTTTTAGTAAAGAAAATTTATGGCTTTTTCGGCTCGAGGCATCGAGTCCATGTAACTTTAAAAGCTAATGAAGCGATACTCGTATTTCTTTTATTTCTAACTGGTTTCTTTTAAATGAGTGGCCCTCGGTAGTTTTGTGTCGACGCAGTAGTTGTGTACAAGCACAATTGCGTTCCTTTCAATTGTTCTAACAAGTTTTAAAGAGTGAACGCTAGGGAACCGTTGTTAGAACGCGTAGTACACTCGAGTGCAAAGTTCCTATGTTACATTGAAGCGTCGCGCACTAGCCATTGTACCAGGCTAGTTTCACACCTGGGTAAAACAATGCAGCAGAGCAATGGACTCTACAATAGTGTTATTTTAACTCACACAGATACAGAAGATTACTGTTTTGACATTAACTGTTGGTCCAAACGATATCAGTACTGCAATGCTTACTGCTCTACTTCTCTGTTGTGTCCTCGTGTGAAGTTGTCAGTACGACGCGCCTAGTTTACAGCATTAAATAGTAATACGCGTGTCTCGTTAAAAATTGAAACTAGAAAATGCGTGCAACGAGTATCAAGTCTAAATTGCAACGACGTCAGTCTTGCCATGAGTTTCTATTGCCTTGAAACATGTTTGTGAACATTACAAGGGACAGTAATATTATATTACAGGTGTTTAACATTTTGATACATTGTTACATTTGTATCGTCTTAAATGATTTTAAATTTTAAAATTATTGATGTCCTCCTTGTTAGTTTTTCCTTGGTTTCTTAAGATATTAACAGCAAAGACTATCTAGATAAAATAACAGGTTGAAAAGGTATTTATTTTATGTAGAATTAATTTAGCTGCTTGGTAAGCCAAGATCAAAGCTTTTGTAGACCACTTTAATAAGTGTTTTTAAAAGTAAGCTTTTCTTAAAAAAATATGGATACGAGACAACTTTTTTTTGGAGATTTATTTGTGCTGATAATGCTTAATGTTTTCTAAATGTTGTTTACCTATTAGGACGTGATAAAGTAATTACTTTAACTACATGCTCGCTATTCGTTCTGAAATTTTTGGTCCAAGTAAGCTTTATATAGAACGCGTAGTAAAAACTCGGATTAAGTGATATATTTTTATTATACGCTAGTATTATGCTGTATATTTCATTTCAAAGTATATTTTTCACGTAAGTTTTAAAACACTTTTTACGAGCGGCTCTAATATGTCATCTGACAAATAATAACCTCCTTACTTGCTACCATGTAGTATGAAATATTTTGTTCGCTAAAAATAGCCTGTCGAGTCGGTCAGCATGCAGCAGTATAACCGCACAATACGGTCGCTTGCCGTTTCACTTTCATTAACAATCCATCAATCATATCGCGGCCGTTTGATACGTCGCTCTCCTACCATTTGATATTCCGCTTCGTTGCAATCATTCAACTTTTTGTACCGTATTGCTCTCTTAATATGATTATAATTTTCTCGCATCTGCCACACTGATTTCTTATCCAGACGAATTTGAACTTTAAATATGAACTATCAAGTCCGATTTTAGTTTGGATATGTTTCCTTTCGAGCGACGCATCGGCTTCCATTGAGCGAGGACCGGTTCGGTGGTGGAATGCCGCGGTGCGAGCGGCTTTTTGCCGCGGCCGTTTGGCGCTGCGGCCCACGCGCGCCCTCCGGCCCCGCGGCCCGACGGCGCCACCGCTTCCCGCCTCCGCGCCGACGCCTGCTGCCCGCTGCTCGATGCAAGATAAACGACAACTCGCAAATATTTGATGTAATTCTATATTTTAAAAGTAGCCTTTCATGCCAAGGCGTTGGCGACTATAGTACGTTTGTATTTTATCAAGGGATCCTGACTCGTAACTCATGACAGGCTGTCGTTTTGTATTATCATGGATTGGTTTACTAGCTTAGATATGTTTCTGTGCATTAAACGAAGTTATTGACCCTAGCTTGTGTATTTTCTTGATGAAACGTTAATTAAAGTCTTAAAAGCTTCCTAAACGACAAGAACTCCAGTGGTAGCACCACAAAGTACAAAATTAACATCACATTTCTCTTGACTTACTAAAGAGTATAGAAAACGAACTAGTGATTATGTTAATTGAATAAGAAAGCGTATCCCAGCAGCGGTGTGTGCAGGACAAATCCTCTATCACAACACGGAGCCGGCATAATCTCTGTCACAAAACAAACCTGTTGTCTCGCCGCCGCCGCGAGGGCTCCACAAATACACCGCGATCCTGACGCCATTAGCTTATTGCAAGCTGTTTACACAATCTCAATTGCAACTTGAACCTGCGACCAGGACTACAGATTCAACATTTATTGTACCACATTGAAGCTTAAATTAAATAACTGCAACGTTTTAATCCACGGTTATAGTTAAGTAGCAATATTTTAAACAAAGAAGAATATTGTTGAAAATCTAAATTATACTGAATAGATTTATGAACGACATGAATAAAACGATCACACGAATAAACGAACACTCACACTCTATCCATTGTAGGGTCAGCTCATCAGGTTTTGTGATGATCGATCTATCTTCCTATATCTATTCTTCCCTCTTTATAACATACCGATATTATGCTAACTTTCTGCTACTCAATTTCCCTACAACTGACGCTGCTTTCAGACTTTGTATAACGAAAAAAAAGTACAAAATACAAAAGTAACATACAAAGCTAAAGTAGGCTACTAATGTGATAACGCATTTTTTTGTATTCCATTTGAAACCTTTGCTTATTAAATTGTAAGGTTTTCATCCTTTATGCCTAAACTTTGTCATTATATTCATCATCAGCTCATTATATGTCCCTACCGAGGGGGCTCGGAGCCTACCCTAATTTAAGGGTAACTAGGACATAGTCAACCTCGCTGGCCAAGTGCGGCTTGATTGACTTCACACATATCTTTGAACTTCTTCTCAGATATGTGCAGGTTGCATCACGATGTTTTCCTTCACCGTAAGAACGTCGGATAAATGTACATATGTAAATCGGAAATCGAAAAAGACATTGGTACACGGCGGGATTCGAACCCAAGACCTGCAGATTGCAAGTCAATTGCTTGACTCCTGGGCCACCGACGCTCTTAAATTAGTGATTATTAATTATTGTTTCCTTTTGTTCCAGGATGACATTCTTACATTCATACACGGCACCGTTTAGCTAACTATAAAGGTGAGTTACTTTTTATGCATCCGTATTACTTATTACGTATCTTGATAATTAACTCCCAAGTGTCTCTGTTGTCCTATATAATCTTACTAATATTGTAAATGCAAAAAATAAGATGGATGTTTGTTAGAAGGTATCTCCGGAACGGCTTTGAAATTTAACACAGATGTAGGACATAGACTGGAAGAACTCATAGGTTGTTTATTAAGTTTTTCAATTCCGCGCGGACGTAGTCGCGGGCGACAGTTAGTTTTTAAATATTAGGGAAAAGTAAGTAGATATTGTCTTCCACATATCATTAATGTTTTTAGATTAATCAACACAGCTATAGTAAAAAAATTATATTCAATTAGTCCTTAATATATAATAGAATCCTAAAACTCTATAAAAGTCAAGTATTTTCAAATTTTAACAGTGGTAGAGCCCGCTTTAACATCTTCGCACGAATTGGCCCGGCTCGCCCGGTGAAATACCACGACCACACAGAAAACAGGCGTCAAGTTGAAGCAATTCCGCGTTTCGTCTGATGAGTGTGCGTCCCGGACGCCTAATTTAGTCCTCTTTCCCTTCTCACCCTTTTTCTTATAAGAAAAGGATGGGAAGTGGAAGTGGACTTTCCGGATGAGAGGAAGCATGGAAAGGGAAGATATTTTCTTTCTGTGCATCCTCTCCTCCGTCGATTAAAGGTAGGCAACGCATATGCAATTGCGTATGTCAATGGGCAACGGTCACTTCGCTATTTTAGCGATTTCGGGTGGCCGCTCGCTCGTTTGCCACCTTATGATAAAAAAAAAGAATGTTAATATCAGTCTACATATTTTAGTACTTTATTCTAGAGATAATGCTAATTGAACATTCTATGTCTAAGAAAGCAGGTAATAAAATTTAAATGTTTTATAAATTCTCCTACTAGCTCGTATTGAGAATAACACAAAACTAATCCATCATCTTCAGTTGCCGCATGATTGACGGACGTTTACCTTTCCGCTCGTGTAAATATTTCCACGCGTCGGCAATTTTTTTTTGTAACGAAACACCGAATTCCAATGTGCTGAGTAGATTGGCGATTGTTTTGTTCGTTAGTCCTAAAAATGTGAGTTTCCACTGATGAAGCACGTACAAAAACATATTGTTATTTCAGAGTTTGTAAGGAGTGTGAGAGAGTTGACATTTTTTTTTGTACAAGTATTTCGCCGGTGAAACATCACCTTATAGCTGCTGCCTTCTGTTTTTCTGATTTGCTGACTGCACAGTTTCTGTTAGGAAATTAATTTCTTTTTAAGTTCGCTCGTGACTTACTATGAAAGATTTCTTTGAATGGTATTTTGCTAAACTGACTAAATTTTGCTGACGTTTGTGCTAAATTCTTTATGTGAGTTTGTGGATTACAACGCGACATAAATAGTCATAGGATAGAAGGTGATTTAGTACCTTCAAACATTCGCATTTATAATACTAGTAAGATATAGAGGGATCATAATCTGTTTTCCTTAAAGCGTTTTGGTAATACCCAGGTTACGCGTTTGCATTCATTACTTACATATTTAAAAGGAATTTCATATGTATATTTATGATATTTTTTGATTTAAGAAATACACACACTTTTATCGATACTTTCATAATAACCACCAGGTAAATGGAAGAGCTAACAATATACTTTTTAAAGATCTTCATCCAATAACCGATTGACAGATTAAAGCATTGTGCGGTCGTATAGTGGACGTAAGACTTATATGGTCAGATAATAGCTTTTCATAGACATTATTAATGCTACAAAGAAAATTTGATAGAAAGGACACTAAAGAATGGGAACAATTGATAGGATAGAAATTGCAACCTGTAAAGCGTAACTGAAGGATAGTCGAAGACATATATTTCCAACCCATTCTAGTGGCGCTCAAAATACAATTGAGAAAAAACAAACATACGTACTAAATAATAATATGAAATTCGATTCTTAGTGGAAAGGGAATTTATTTCTTTGACTGTACGTAGAAATGCGTGGATTACCCAGACAGCGTATGGAGGATATGTAGTTAAGTTAAGAAATATGCACTCTCATATCTCAGACCGCAATATGATTACGGGGAACGTCTCCTCGAATGCTATGTAACAAATTAGATATTTCCTATCTTTAATGTTATGTGGGGGAACTCTACTACATGATGCTGGCTTTTTAAGGTTACTTACAATTTTGAAATTGTTCTGTTTCGATTTATGTTTACTTTTGTCTTAATAAGACTTCGTTCTACTTATTCGTGAATCATCTGGATTTAATGAATTGGCAAGAGTGGTTGTATGAAATATATAAATTAACCTTTAACTTGTTATTTACCTTAAGATTAATTAGTTTAATGAAAGTATTCCTTTGGTATAATTAAAAAATATATTTTAATATCAGACATGCTTTAAAGGTCTTTAAAATAACGAATAAAGCAGGTTCTTTTCTCGTAGTTTGCTAACACGATATTCGTGAAAGAGTCTGCAGATTTCATTCAGCATTTAATTGAAGAAGAGTATAACGCCTTATTCAAAACAAGCAGAAAGCCGAGGAAAAGTAAAGAGAAAATCTTTTTATTTGTATTCGCAAACGACACTCATCAGCAACAAAGCGCTTTTGACTGGTTGCACGAGGAGCCGAGCCGGCTGCAATATTTCGCGGCGTTTAATCGGCAGCCGCCTCCTGGCCGTCTGTTGCGCCTCTACTGAGACTAGCGTTGCGTTGCCTTGCCTTGCGTTGCATTGCGCCTACCGTACACACGTCCGCACAATCGCACCCGCTCACTTAATGCTATATGTGCCATTATGAGCCCTATTCATTGCAATGAAAAGGATAGAATTCCCTCGGGCGACGCCGACGGATTTAATATATCCGCGGCGCGGGTTGTACTCCACGGCACTCGGCATTCACGTCTCCCTCGACCGGCATTATGCCTCTAATGTCACTTAATTTGCCGTCTAGGGCCTCCTCAGGTGAATGCAGCCTACGAGAGCTGGTTTAATATAAAAATTCCCTCGTTTTTTTCCCGTCACGTGAATAACGTTATACTGTTGCCTCTTTTAAAAGTAAACGCGTAGAAGTAATGGGATTACAAAATCGGTGGTCGCGGTTGCCATTCGTGAATTTAATTGACATCTATACATTTTGATTTCTGACCTTAAATTTATAGTGGAGACCATATAAGAAGTCTGGCTTTTGCATTTAAAAAAATCGATGCAAATGTATTGGGCGGTACCTTTAATTGTAGAGTCCAGTCGTCTACTGTAGGCGTTACTCATGATAAGCTGATCTAATAGAGTTTGTCATCAGTTAACTCATTGGTTTTCGTGCATAGGATTTGCAATTGTAACGGCGAGCAGTGCGGGGCATCATAATGTGGTCCTAGCGTGTAAAGCGTATGTTGATTAGGTTATTTAAATGCTTCAGGCCACAACGCGAGATAATTCTATGCATTTATTTACCACGAGAACCAACAATTGCAGGACAGTTTAATTTTTTTGTTTACAGGTGACTAGTACCGCTTATACACATAAATGGTGAGAAGTTATCATTGCAGCAATTATTTTTGTATTATATTATTTCTGTTAAAAGATATTGAATTTATAGGTAAATTTTCCATTTAAAATTACGTATAACCGCTTGCTAAATTCGAAAGAATGAAGCCATTTCTTAGATGGAATTGTCTTTATTAGGAAACGCAGCTGCCACTAAAAGATTGGCATTACAGGGAAAAATTGAAAAAGAAATGTTTTATTCAACTCGATTGGACAGGAATACTTTTAAATTACGAAGACGGGGCTCTACAAATTGAATGGAAATTCGAATGAAACGCAATTAGTTCCAGAAATAACTTAAAAATAAAAACTTACAAAACCGTACCAACAAATTATAAAACTATATGTCTTGACATTAAACAACACATTTTGCAAATGAGATTAGAGCATAGTATGGAATTCAAATTCAACAAATTTTGAATTTAGAAAAAAATATAACAACGTAAGACAAATGGAAGCAACCATATGGCTGTTAAACCTTTACTTTTATAGACGCAACACAGACTAAACTAAACAATCTTTGTCAACAAATTTCTATTTGCTTGAAAATTTGACCATACTTTTAACATTGAACAATAATTATTCAACATTATTGTTATTGAAAAGGGTTGTTGCTGACAGGTAGGGTTCTTTATTTATCTATAACAATAAATATGAATATCTGAGCAATGAACGTCATCCGCGTCAGTTGCAGGCGCGTGTCCCTTACATCGCGGCGGGACTACGCCAGGCTCCCTGCCACGACAGGCTCCCTACCCTTTGTTATACTAGACGTATTGTTTAATGAATTTAAATATTTTAAATGTAGCTACTTAAATGTTACATTTTTAAATCAATTACAGATAAGTTTTTTAAATATTAGTAATTACTAAGAATTCATAAATATTTCGCACATTTAATTTGATTTAATTTATGTGTTGAAAATATTGGTATTAACTCTAACATTTTGTTTTTTTTTTAATCGGACAGGGTAAATTTTTTCCGCAAACCTTATCACAGATTTATGCGGCTCAATGTTGTTTCAATAAACAAATGAATGGATTTTTTATGTGTTATAATAATATATATTACAATGTAAGTTTGTTTGTTTGTTAATAAGTTTGTATACGCATCTAAGATTGTATTTAGTTTTTGGATTTTTTTACGCTGCGAAACAACTGATGTCAATTTAATATTTCAGTATGATTGTAAAGCAGTCTCAAAAAGTCTCCCTCTCACTGGAGATGTATCGAGTAGTCACACTGAAACACTGGTTATATCTTGGTGCTAGTCAACTTTAATGAAATGCGATCGGCAAGTCGATAAATATACTAAATATATTGATTTTTTTTATATCAGAAGGTGGCAAACGAGCGAGCGGCCACCTGAAATCGCTGAAATAGCGAAGTGACCCTTGCCCATAGACATACGCAATTGCATATGCGTTGCCTACCTTTAATCGACGAAGG